CGATCGATTGGGCTTAAAGTGTTTACAAGAAGTTCAGCGTCACTGACTAAGGCGTCGGAGGAGCAGCTGCTAACGTTCTTTGTTCAAACTAGGGACGCTAGCTTTCCTATTTTGATCGATCGATTGCGCCCGTTAGAAAATGATTCATTGTTGCTCAGAGTCAATAAATACCGAATCATCTGAATAACTTATTTCATTCTTATCAAGAAAGCTTTTCGGCAAGACCGCAAGCGAGAGGTAAGAAGAGAATACGCCTATTTTTTTTCTCTTGTCACTTATCTATAATCTCTACGTGTCTAGCAAACCAGAAAGAAAATATTTGGTCAAAGTCGTTATAGTATTTAATTTAGCTATCAGGAGTTTGAAAACGAGTATTTCGTTGACGGTTTCGAAAGCACTATTGATAACTTTTTTTTTTCAAAAAACTTGAAAGTTTGTTGTTTTTAACCGCCACTATGTAGCTCATTTGGTAAGAGCGTCGGTCTGTTGTGGGGGAAGTCGTGCGGGAGGTCGGCCGGACCAACACTCGGGGTCTTAAAATAACTGAGGAGAAGGCGCTGCCTTCGTAATAATATCTTCAAACGGTTAGTCGACCTTCAAGTCTTCTCGGATAAGGACTTAAAACCGTAGGCCCTGTCTCCCGGCCCAACACTTCCTAACAGTAAAATGGGGGACGTGGAAGAACCTGTTCAATTATTCGAATTATTCCTTTCCCTATATGGAGGCATAATACTAACATACTAACAAATCACTGATGATTGTAAGCTGCACGGCTGCTAATAGTGGCTTAATATGCAGCCCGTAAAGTCCTCCACTCTTCAGTCTTGTAAAGCGCCATTGAGTTCTTGGAAATGGCGCTATATAAATTCATCTTTTGCCTTTTACCTATATTTCTGTTCCTCACTGCTATCATACACGGAGTTTGATCCTGCTTAACATTCAAAAATCGTTGACGCGAAGAAACTCAGCCAATGAAAGTTTATAGTTAGATTTAGATTTTTTCTTTAGACTAAAAAATTAGATAAAATTTTTGATATGATCATTAAAAGATATACGGACTTTGCTTTATGTTAAGCTATTTTCTAAAAGTATTTTGCTTTTTTGGTCATAGAGTGTAACTTCTCCTCATCAGGTCTCGAAACATAGTTAAACTGTGAATTGTCAAGCACGTTGAATAGATTTAGTACTATTTAGTTAATATACATTTCTCAGGATCTTCCATACTCATGATTTGGTAAAACCTTTCTGACCAACAATAAATTATTCGATATTTTCTACTCAACAGATATTCACTACAACTCCAAACTAGCCAAGAATCTCGTTTAAAATGGCGCAAGATCTGATAGATGTGGATGATATTGTTGAGAAGTTTCTCGTAAAGAAAATGTATAAAAAGTCAGGATGGCCTCATGATACAATAGCTGCATGCAAGATCATCTGTACTGATAAAGATGGCAAAACATGGGTATCTCATCAGATCTACAGGAATGATGAGAATGATCATGCAGAAGTAAAGCTCATTAAATACCTTCGATGGCTTGGAAAAGCATTAGAGGCCAGGGAAATTATTATTAAGGTTTACATGAACTACTCACCCTGTTACAAGTGTGCTAGAAAAATACTGAAATATAAAGGAGATATGGAAGATAAAATAAAAATGACCATTACATTTGCAAACTTTTATAACACACATGTACATAGAGGAAACAACCGGGATGAAGCACGCGCAAATATTGAAGAGCTAAAGGAGCTGTATGAGTATGGAGAACATGCGGTGAAACTTCGATTGCTTGGAAGGGATGTAAAATGGGAAACATTCCTAGGCATGGATGAGTTTTTTAGGTTTGAGGAAGGAGAAGAGGATGAATGTTTGGATAAGGCTCGCTCAGACGAAAGAAAACGTAGGGAGGTTCAAGATGAGATGGTGTGGGACGAAATCTTCAATGACGGGGTCGGAGTAATCACATCAGGACTAGATAATGATATATTAGAGGAACTTCGAAAGGATATGGATGAGCTATCGGCTAGCGACTGATCTACGGTAAGGGACACATATTCGGTAGAAAACATGACCAAGTGCATGAGATTTGTTATTAAGCTTTATTATTATTCCTTAATTTAACTGAGACAAAGAATGTTTTGTTATCGTATCCCCAGCAAATGGACTGATTAGTAGCCTAAAGCTGACTGGCTTTAAATACATGTTAAGGAAAAATCTTTTGAAATTGCCTAATTTTAACTCGGCTACATTACATTATTGTCTAGATCTCTTGGTATTTCAGCTGATTAATACTTCAATAGATCATTTGGTATTGATATTAGTATCAGTATTTTAGTTATAAGATTATTGTCTCTTGGTATTTCAGCTGATTAATACTTTAATAGATCATTTGGTATTGATATTGGTATCAGTATTTTAGTTATTAGATTATTGTC